CCACTGGAAGATAGAGCCTGCTTCCAGGAGACTCCCAGTGAAAGCGGGAGGGTTGGCAACCCGCCCTTGGCCTCTGCTGAGACTGGCCACCAGGAGGCCAAGAAGCACTTAGCATGGTGGCAGGAATTTGTGTGTTTGAGAGATTTGGACATCGATCTACTACCAGACAGTGCCCTGAGACCACTGTGGGCCTGATCTCCCGACTGAGCACCTACAACATCCATTGACTGCGGCTCTTACCAGGCCTTAACTCAGGCCACCCGCAGCCTTTAGACGTTGAGGCTTTTGGCCAATACCCATCAAACCAGAGATGCCAGGAGGGAAGGCTCCAATCCCACTGTAAATGCCCTGTGTCAACTGGTTCCCCTTCTCTTCCGCTTCCATGCACCTCCCAGCCTCCTCACGTGCCCTCCGTCCCCCGCGCAGTCTGAAATCTGGAATGGAAGCGTCACAGATGAGAGGATTTTTTTTTTATTATTTTTTTTTTAATAAATCCACTCAGTAGGTAGAGTAAACAAACAAACAAAGAAAACCCCCTTTAACCATGTCCAGTAACGAGAGGAAGCCTGCAGAAGGGCGCATCCGCTCGCAGCTCCCTCAGCCACTCCACTAAGCTTCGTGGCTTTCTCTGACAACGTTGGAAGTAGCCTGGAGCCACCTTTCGAGAGCAGAATCCCTCCAGGAATGACTTCCCGCTTCCATTCTCTATGTCTGTAGATACTGCTGTCTCCCCAGATATAGAGGTGCCTCCTTCACAGCCTTGTTTTGTTTATCTCAGTAACGACCCCGCTTTATTCCCGCCGAAAGGTTGGTTAGTGGGAATGTGTTCGCTCTTCTTGCGATGTCCTTGATCCCGCGTACAGCAGCGTTCTCTGACAGTCAGTCAAAGGACGTGAGGCTCCGTCTCTGGGCCGAAGAGCTTAGAGGATAATGAATGAATGCTGCGGTTATTTGTATTTCTAATTGGCAAGTGCCTTGCCAGATCAGCTGCGTGTCACTGTACACTGAGGACACTTAGGCAACCCTCTTTCCTCCTTAGCCTCGTCCTCAGTGCCATGGGGCTGCTGCCAAGGGCAGTAGCCTCCCCTCATGGTGCCTTTCCTGGGGGTTGCTGCACTCACTATATATTTGCTGTTACACATGCTCTTTATTTGGCTATGGAACAGAGATTTGTTTCAGCTGTATCAGCTTCCCGAAAGCAGACAGACTGTGCAGCTCCAGGCTCTCTCCCCTGGATCTCCCCACCTGGGAGCCTCTTGCAGCCCTAAAGCTGTGATTTTAAATTGCGTTTCAGACTTTTTAGGTGAGAGACCACTTCTGCTGTCAGAGACGAGGCCGCTCACTGGGAGAGCAAACGCCTGAAGCCTGTTCTCAATTTTTCACTCAGATCTTATTCATGCAAAGCTCTCATTGATCTTGGTAAGAGTTTGGCTGAAGCAGGACCTGAGGATTTATCTCCTTGGAATTAGGACGGCCAGGAAGTTGCACAGTGGTTGCAAACACTTGAATCTGTTTCAGGGGCGGGGAAGGGGGGAAAAAAGCCATGTGCTAATGTTGTAATATTCATTAATAACACGTTGTGCCTCCATGGCTCCTTTCATCATCATATCTCAAAACACTTTGCAATGAGGATTGAGCGTCGGACCTCCCGCTTGGGGTGGAGAATGTTATGAGCCTCACGACAGGAGCAGGATTTTCTGCTTAGAGGAAACCTTTTCCTCCAACTTACCTTCAAATGCTCCTTTGCCTTGTGTTGGGTAACCCGCTGTTTCGCTTTGGGCTTCGTTTGTTCCCTACCCAGCAAGCCCTTTCATTGATCTATATTTGGGACTGACCCAGCATCGTGACCTCACGTGACAACATGGCAATGCTGTATGGTGAGGTGAGGGGGTATCAAGATGTGTCAGCTTGGTTCTCGAGGAGAGAACTTCAGAGGTTGCAGATGTAAAGCTCTATGCTGCAGCCTGCTCCATGAGCAGCAAGAAGATCATTCCAGGTCCCAGTCACCCTCACTACAGAGAAGCATATTTCTAACATTCAACATATTTCCCATCCCCTTTCTATTCAGTTTCAGAGCCCTACTCCTTACTATACCCTCCACAACAGATAGCCAGAGGGATCTAGACCGTTCTCAGTGGTACCAGATGGCAGAACAAGGAGTAATGGTCTCAAGTTGCAGTGGGGGTGGTTTAGGTTGGATATTAGGAAACACTTTTTCACTAGGAGGGTGGTGAAGCACTGGAATGGGTTACCTAGGGAGGTGGTGGAATCTCCTTCCTTAGAGGTTTTTAAGGTCAGGCTTGACAAAGCCCTGGCTGGGATGATTTAGTTGGGAATTGGTCCTGCTTTGAGCAGGGGGTTGGACTAGATGACCTCCTGAGGTCCCTTCCAACCCTGATATTCTATGATTCTTTGATTCTATGATTCAGTAGCGGGGTGGGGACGGGATTTGAACCAGAGTTCCACCAACTTTGACATGACCACTTTGGAGGTGGAACATTGTTTGGGACAGGGACTGTCACATACTATCTATTTGTACAGCACCCAGCATCGGGGAGCCCTAAGGTGATTGGTATCTAGGTACCACCCTAGTTTAAATAATAATAATTAATAATTAATTAATACTCAATTATAATGATCACAGGCTTGTCTCACACCAGACAATGGGGCTATCAGGCCAGACAGCTGGTTCATGTAACCTAGAACCTTGCCCAGTACTTGACGATTAAGACTATATTGAGATGCTTGCCATCCCCAAGTGGTGCGTTTCTGTGCATTGGGGAAGAACGGAAGGTTGGGGGGGCATCATTCCTTCCTGACCTCAGCTGCCTGAAGCTTCCTGTCTTTGATCCTCACAGAGCTCACACCTCCCATGGTTTGTACCCAGAAACCCACAGCAAAACCCCAGTGAAAGTGGTTTTGCATGTCCGAGACCTGAAATCCCACAACAGCCACCGTCTCCCTGCAAAGTAGGTGCAAAGTTGTTTGAAAGGGTCATGAGCCTTCCAGCAAAACTGGCTTGGAATTAAGGCGCTGTGTCTGGGCGAGCTTTCATTAGTATTGGTGGTGTATTGGACAGCACCATTACTAAGCAGAAGAACTGGCCAGCTTTGATTTTGTTGACATTTTTTTCTTCCCAATGAAAAATAGTGTGTGTGTGTTTGTGTTTTCCTAAATGAAAATAATGTCGATAATGGCATAGAGAGTACACTTATAAAGTCTCTGGATGATACCAAGCTGGGAGAAGTTGCAAGTGCTTTGGAGGATTAAAATTCAAAATGATCTAGACAAATGGGAGAAATGATCTGAAGTGCAGAGGATGAAATGCAATAAGCATCAATACAAAGTACTCTACTTAGGAAGGAACAATCAGTTGCACACACAAAACAGGAAATGACGGCCTAGGAAGGAGTACTGCGGAAAGGGATCTGGGGGTCTTAGTGGATTACAAGCTAAATATGAGTCAACAGTGTAACACTGTTGTAAAAAAAAGAAAACATCATTCTGGGATGTATTACCTGGAGTACTGTGTCCAGTTCTGGGCGCCACATTTCAGGAAAGAGGTGGACAGATTGGAGAAAGTCCAGAGAAGAGCAACAAAAATTACTAAACGTCTAGAAAACATGACTTGTAAGGGAAGACTGAAAAAAAATTGGATTTATTTAGTCTGGAGATGAGAAGACTGAGAGGGAACATGATAACCGTTTTCAAGTACATAAAAGGTTGATAAAGGAGGAGGTAGAAAAATTGTTCTTCTTAACCTCTGAGGATAGGACAAGAAGCAATGGGCTTAAATTGCAGCCAGGGAGGTTTAGGTTGGATATTAGGAAAAAGTTCCTAACTCGCAGGGTGGTTAAGCACTGGAATAAATTGCCCAGGGAGGTTGTGGAATCTCCATCAGTTGAGATATTTAAGATTAGGTTAGATAAACGCCGGTCAGGGGTGGTTTAGATAATACTTAGTCCTGCCATGAGAGCAGGGGATTGGACTAGATCACCTCTCGAGGTCCCTTCCAGTCCTACGATTCTATGAAAAATGTCTTTTCTGATGGGTATATTCCCTTTTGTTTCACTGGAAAAAGGGCCAGGGAGGGAAGAAAATAAGGGAGACAAAGGGGAAAGGGCAACTGAAAACCATTTTTTTTTTCAAAAACCAAAAATTGTTGCTTTTCATTTTATTGAAAAATCAAAAAAAACCCAAATCTGCAAATTAAAACACAAAAATGTTCATTTCTTTAGAAACATTTCACTGAAAATACGTCCCATTTTTCAACCAGACCCACCAAACAGCAATGTGAAATCTCCTGTTTCTCTTGATCTCCCTTCCCTTCTCTTGGGCCTCCCTCCCAGCCTGGTCCCACACGACCTGCGCTGTAAGCAGCTGCATTTATCCTGACTGCTGTGGCGTTTGGTTTGGCGACAGAAAATGTTTGACTGGGCTGAAATTTATTTTGCGCTGGTCTTTTTTCCCCCCTCCCTTCTCCCCATTCCCTAAACAGAAACGACTGAACTCGGTACAAAGAAGGAGCTCAAGTCTATGCCATTCATCACCTACCTCTCAGGCCTGCTGACAGCTCAGATGCTCTCGGACGACCAGCTGATCTCAGGCGTAGAGATCCACTGCGAAGAAAAGGGCCGCTGCCCCTCCACCTGCCACTTGTGTCGGCGCCCAGGCAAGGAGCAGCTCAGCCCAGCCCCGGTGCTGCTGGAAATTAACCGGGTGGTGCCCCTGTACACGCTGATCCCGGACAATGACACGAAGGAGGTGAGTGAGGTGGTGATGAAACCTGCTCTGGAAACTCCTCTCTCGCTCCCTGCTTTCCTCACCTCTTCTCTTCTTCCCGTCAATCTCTCTATCCAGTTTGGAAGCACTTTGGGGAAATTCTTTGTATTTTTGTTCTGTGTTTGTACAGCCCCTAGCACAATGGGGCTCTGGTCCGTGACTGGGGCTTCTAGCCACTACCGCAAAACAAATAATACCTCTCTGTCATATCCATTGATCCTACACTAGTCGTCACAGTATCTGAGAGCCTAACCAAATTATCCTCACCACCATAGAAAGGCCAAAATATGGCATTGTGTCCATGTGTCTCAAGCAGCCTGGGAGCATCCCTCCCTCCCCACCATCTCTCCTTTTCTCACCGTTTCTCATGAATCCCTCTCTCTCTCCTGCTCCCCTTTCAGTATCCAAATCATTCTCCCCTTGGATGCAAAGCAGAACAGTACCGGCAGCGTGTGTGTGTGTGTGTGTTCATTCCTAACAGTCATCCACGGCTGAAAACAGAGCTCTGGATCTTTCCCATGGACACCCCTCGGATTCAACAAACCAGGACCTGGGGTGGCACCCCTTGGCTGCGCCTGGGGAATCTGGCGGAGCTTCTCAGTGCCCTGGGACTTTGCAAATTACAGCCCACATCTCAGCCCATCCCGTGCATAGGGAACGGGGCCTGGGAACAGGCCCCTGGGATTCACCCAACCAGCCACTGGAGGTCACTGTTACTCTAACAGGTGCAGGCGACGCTAAGATCAGCCTCCTCTCTGGCACTGGTTTCTCTCCTGTCTCTTGCTCTCTGCAAATCCTGCAGGAACGTAAATGTTAATCAGATGTAGATTTATTTGCTGGTTTCCCCAGTCCCTGCTCCCCCCCCCTCTCACCCCCGGCCCCCAATCCAAAAATGACAGACCTGTTTAAAGTCACTTATTAGCACCGAGCCTGCACTTGATTAAGGGGCTCAGAGTGAGCCAGCGCGCGGCAGCTGTGGGTGGGACAAGGGGAGCTGCAGGTCTGGAAACAATCCCAGCCCCGAGTAGAGGTGTGACCACCTAGTGTGGTTCCCCCGCGCTCTCCCACACCCTCAGAGGGCAGAGCACCTCTCTCTCTCTGCCTCCTTCCCTCCTCCTGGGCCTGTCCATCCTTCTCTCTGCCCCTCGCTCTCCTTCCGTCTCCTTCTCCACCCCAATCTGCCTGCCTCTCTCCGCGTAGCCGTTTCTCACTCTTCCCTCAGTCTCCCTTGTTTCTCTTCCATCCGTCTTTATCTCCCCCCCCCCACCTCCATCAGTCTGTCCCTCTTTGCAACGGCCGCTGCCTCTCACAATCCCGCCATCTTTCTCCAACCTCCGCTTCTTTCCATCCATAGGAAGAGTCTGCACTTCCTTGGCAAAGGCTCTCCGTTCCCCTCTATGCCCTGGGTTGGCCCAGCCGGCCCCTGATCATGGCTTTTAAAGCTGCCCGTCCTTTAACGCGGCTGGGGAGCTTCTCCCGCTTGCGGCAGGTGACGTGCAGGAGGATTGCAGTGTCAGGAAGCAGGTGTAGCCCTAGCTGCCCCACCTGGACCTGGAGACCTCAGACTGGCAGACTTCATGGCCCTGGTGCAGCCATGCTACTAGCCTGGGCTACGCCGGCACCGGCTTCTTCTTCCCCTCTCCCCTTTGCAGTGAGGGAGCATAGAAGATGGACATTGCTGGCTCTTGGTGTCTAAGCAGCCTCTGTGCATCCACCACCAGCACCGTCTCATCAGCATGCCCTCTCCTTCCATGTGAGAACTTCTGCTTGGACAGCAACAACCCCTCTTCCCCCCAGTCAGACCCAGGAACGAACAGGGCGGGATTTCCTTTGAGAGCTGGGATTGATGCACGGAGGCTGATACACACACTGGCTTTTTCCTGGGCAGCAAGACTGGAGGGAGCGATTTGCAGCTTCATGCAGGCAGCCAGCTCCCAGAATAACCCAAAAAGACAATGGCTGCTCGGTCTCTGGAGCGCCCTCCCTTACGCCTAGCAGCAGAGGGGGCTGCCCGCTCCACAGTCAGGGTGTGGGGCAGGGACAGAGAGTGAAGGCTGCCGAAGGCCAAGGTGGATCCCAGAGGGATTTGGGAATCAGCAGGCAGTGTGTGTGTGTCAGGGGGCAAATAACCTGGAGCGGGCACTGAGCCACAGTGATGCGGGTCGGTAGGTTGGGATGTTACTGGGATGGAGAGTGGGGGCAGGGTCGTTCCCTCGGGATGCTCTGCAAGATGTCAGTTTGTTTTGGGGAAGGGGAATGGGTTCACCAGCAGGCAAGGGGTTAATGGCGGGGAAAAAAGAGAGAGAGAGAGAGAGACCAAGCCAGTCTAAAAAGCTCCTGCTGCTACTACTCATCCGCCAGGAAGTAGGACAGCTTCTCCGCCACTCCCTTTCCCATACGCTGGCCTGTGCAAGGAGGCAGTGCGGCCTTCCAGTCTCCTCATCTCATCTCCTCCTGGAACGCGCCCCATCACCCCTCCCTCCTCCGCTACCATGATGCGGCCATCCCCTCCCAACCGCCTCCTCCCTCTGGGTGCCCAGAGTTCAGATCTCACTCTTCCCAGGCTCCGAGCAGAAGCAAAGTTCCCATGTGCCCTGCCCTGGAAGGGCCTCCGGTTTGGCTTGGTGAGTTGGACACGGGCTGCGTTTCTCCAGCAGCAGCGTCACTCCCTCCCTCCGTCCCGCGGAAGAGAGACTGTCCCACCGGCCGCAGCTGGAACCGAGCCCCGAATTGTACTTTCTGCTGAGGCCCTGGAAAAACCAACCACCCTTCTACGGAGACTTTGATTAATGCGCGCGTGCTCCTCCCTGCACCTGCTACATTTGCACACGGAGAAGCATGCCCCCCAAGGGAACCTGTCTCTGCAGGCGGGGGTTCCATGCATGTGCGTGCAAATTCGAGGGAGAAGGAGCCTTCCCCTCCCTTCCCCCAACACTTTCTGCATCAGCAGCTGTTCCTGCCAATGGCGGAGCTTGGATCTGAGCTGCACATTCTCTTGCGCCTGTGCAGCCCATGCCAAAGAGAGGGGGAAGGCTGCTCTGAGAACTGCAGGAGAAGGCGTCTCAGAGGCGGAGGGGTGCGGGAGAACACTCAGGGGAAGCGGTAGATGCGTGCGGCGTTGGCGGATGCTGGTCAGCTGAGTACATGTTATGTGCCAGAGAGTGACCATGTGGTACCATTGCACCATAGCCCAGGCCTACGCCTCCTTTGTCTGTCTAGAGTCTCTGATGCTTGCCTTTGCTACAGGCCCCACTTACCCACCCACGGTCCTGCTAGGGGCCCTGTTTTTGTCTGTGGCAGGACACAGGTAATTAATTCCTTTTGTCTTCCATATCCACCCCCACCACAGCTTGCTCTCTGTCTTTTGCTGTCCATCTCTCTCTCAATTAGTTCATATCACTTCCTATTTTCTTCTGTTCCATTCTTTCCCCCTTTCTCTCCCTCCTCCTTTTACATTTATTTTTAAACCTTTTTATCATCTGGTCTGCCCGCCCCTTTCTCCCCATTCCTTCCCTCTGCTCCTCTCTTTCTCTGCTCCTCCCCTCCTTGTGCTTCAGTCGCTTTCAGCAAATTATTCCTCCCCTTTAGCTCTGCAGCCTCTGCTGGTTGAGACAGCTCCCTACCTATTCAGAGCCAATCAGCCATGTAATTCACAGCTGCCAGCCATGAGCCCCCAGTAAGAACTCACCGTCGCTACTGTGGGAAACTGAGTCGGGTCTCTCCGTCCCAGTGTGGGGCGAGAGAGCCAAGATGTACACTGCATGGCAGCCTGGGTGCGCCAGACATGATTTCTACTGGGGAGAGCGCAGCGTCCCCATTGATAGAACGAATTGGGGTTGAAATGATGCAGGCCCTCTGTTGTAAAGAAGTTGGCATCCTACAGGGTTAGGATTGCCGGTAGGAGAATGTGCAGTGGAAACTTTCACGACGCCCATGGGCTAAGTTCACTACCTATTGAAATTAATCCTACCAAATTGTCACGGCCAGGGCATGGGTCGGTCAGGCTAGTGGGTAGGGCTGGAGTCAGAAACCAAGAACCAACGCCGAGGTCAGAAGCCAAGAACCAAAGCAAGGCAAAGGAGCAGGGTCTGTCATAGACCCAGATGGGGATCCACTTGGTTGCACAGACCACTTCTTGGTGTCCCCCCAGGCTTAAGTAGCGCGCCTGGAGCAATCAGGGCCCCCATGAGCACTGTCAGACAGGCCCTCTGTGGGGAGCACATTCGGTGGTACTTGGCTCCTCCGGGCTCACAGCCTGTTGGTCGCTGTTGGGCCAGAACTGTGGAGTGGTGACATGGATCCTGCTCAGTGTCCAGCAGACCTAGGTTCTAGCCCTCCTGCTCCTCACACAGAGAATTCCTACTCCTGTGGGAGCACAGCGTTCTCTCAGTCCTCTCCATGCACAGAGGTGGTGAGCTAGGGTCAGGCATTTTACTAGGAGATAAGGGACCAGACTGAGCTCTGGCTACCAAGTCCCTATCTCACTAGAGGAGTTCACCGTAGTATCTGAGCAGCTTACAGCTATTAATGGGTTTTACCCTACACTGCGGAGGTGCAGGGCAGATTTAGTGACTTGCCTGAGGTCACACAGAGAGTTAGTGGCAGAGCCAGGAACTGAACACAGGTTCTCCTGAGTTCTAGTCTCCAGGCCCAGCTACCAGTGCCCTCCCCAGCCAGAGCTGAGTTATGTGCGCATACAGACGTGCACCATTCTTCTCCTGCCTGTCCCTCCCCCGCATTGGGTCTTTGCCCTGTTTTGGTTCTTTGAAAGTTTCTTTCCTGTTGAGGGGACAATTGTGAGCTACTTTACGCACCAAAGCAAGGATTTAAGAAGTTACCAGCTTCCCCCTGCACATGCTACCCCATATCATGGGTCAGTGCATGAAAGGGACAGCAGCTTTTAATGCAGCGTTACTCCCCATCCTGCATGAATGGGCAGACGGGACCTGCAGTGGGAAGAGCCTTGACTCCTCCCTCCCTCG